CCAATAGTTTTCTAGATCTGACCCCAGTCCTCAGAATTATGTGCCTCCAGTTCTTTCAAGGAAACTAAATTGGTGCTGGATAATATAAAGCAAAACAAAACAGGGTAAAGGGAAACCGATAGTCACGTGTTGGGATAGTAAAATTGATTAGTTAAGTCAGGGAAATATTTAGTTGAATACAGGTCGTATATTGCTTTATAATTCCAGGAAAGCTGATACTGTCATAATGGCTTTCACCTTTCACCCAACTTTGGGTTTGACACAACATGAATGCTTAATAAACCCAATGGAACCAATAATATGCAAATGTGTTTATATTCTACTCTTGAACTTGGGTATACCTTGACATCATATAATGAAGTATGACTCTAGTGCAGTTTTTCACAACTCTTGATAGCTAATTCTAAGAGATCAGGGAAAAAAAAAAAGGTAGGACAAAGGAGGCTGTGATCTCATCTGTTCCCTGGCTTTATCTTGGGGCTAAGATCCACAAAAGAGCCTTAGGTAAGTCATCACTCAAAGAATTTCTGCAGCCCAGTTAACCAGTAACACACAACAAATGATGAGAGGCAATTACATAATGTTGTGTGGTTTCATTTATTCAGCTTTTTTGTGTATGTGTGGTACTAGGGATTGAACCAGGGCCTTCACATTAAGCTTACCTCTCTGGCCATTTTTATGTTTTATTTTGAGACCAGGGTCTTACAGAGTTGCCCAGGATGGCCTCAAACTTTGATCCTCTTGCCTCAGCCTCCCAGGCAGCTGGGATTACATGTATACCACCATACCCAGATTAATAATCATTTTTAAGTAACTTCTAGTTACTTAAAAGAACTATACTAGGAATGGAGGAAATTATTTCACCTCAGTCAAGAATGCAGCTTTCAGTCACTTAGATTTAGAAAATCATATTGTTCATATATTCAGAGGTGATCAGGCTTTTGATGACCCATTACCACTCATTAACTGTAATTAAAACTTCTACAATTATTTAGAATACCTCTAGCTAGGTCTGCCTCTAACATTTGTGGGAGCACAGCAAGAATATGTATGATCTGCCTTTATAACTCAGCAAATGAACTTTGTAAATGACCTAAGAGACCATGTGGTTTGGAGTGCCTTGCTGGAAAGGTAGGGAAGGGAGGGTCAGAATCCCTTCTCTGTCCAACGTCGCAGGGTGGAGCCAACCCCAGACATCTGGGTTTTGTTCACTCCTCCTGCTAAATGTCCCTGTTCAACCACCTCCTGTGGCTAGGGATGTGGAACTCTGCTGCAGGGAGCTGACCCTGGGGAAGAGGTCAAGTAGGTCCTGGAAGTAAAACTCAGAACACTTGGGCTGAGAACTCCAGAGATTCTAGAAGAGGGATGAGATCTCCAGATGTCTGCCCCATCCCCTTGACCCCATGGACTTCTCAGGAGACAAGAGTCAAAGCAAGTCCCTTCAATGTGGTGCTCAGGGCCGTGATTCAGGACACTCCCTGCTCACTAGTGAGGAACTGGGATGGCAAACAATATACTACTAGGAAATTAGTGCAAAGAAGAGGGTGGAGGTGAGACCTAGCTCACCATCTCTCCTGGCAGAGAATATCCCCTGGCCCGAGAAAGGATACTTGTCCTCAGAATGCAGAGATGTATCTCCCTTGAGGGGGCTCACACAGTTCGTGTTCCCAACAATTGCCTTCTCTCTGAGGGTCAGGGACTGCAAAGGCTCCCTGCAGACGAGGAGAATACATGAAGCCCCTGAAACTGTTCGGCCCAGAGGAGGAACCTTTCTAAAAGCCATACAAGATGCCATACAAGGTAGCTGAGATCTGCTTCCCATCCATTCCCAACTAGCCTGTGCACTGGAGCACTGGGGCAATTAGTTGCCACTGCTGGGACAATTTTCAGAGCTCTGGCGCATCCCTTGTGGTGAACCACTGGAGTGTGTGTGTGTATGTGTGTGTGACTGGGGATTGAATCCAGGGCCTTAACATTGAGCTACCTCTCCAGTTTTGTTTGTTTGCTTGTTTGTTTGAGACAGGGTCTGGCTATGTAGTTCAGGCTCACCTTCAACTCACTATGTAGCCCAGACTGGCCTTGAACCCTTGGTGATCCTCCTGTCTCAGCCTCCTGGGTGCTGGGATTACAGGTATGCACCTCCATGCCAAGGTTTCAGCCCTTTTTAAATATTTAAATATTTATTTATTTATTTATTTTTATTTTGAGGCAGGGTCTCGCTAAATCACTGAGTGGTCCGGGCTGGACTCAAACTTGTGATCCTCTTGTCTCAGTCCCCCACTCTACTGCGATTGCAGGTGTATACCACTAACACCTGGCATCCCATGAGGACTCTTCAGTGTGGCTCCCTGAGACCATTTTAGTTCATGAGACACTCAAAAATAGAGAAGACCCCAGAAGGCCACCAACAACTGTTCAGATAATACACACTGTCACTAATTCAAGGGTAAACTGTTTAATTTACTGACCTGACTAGCTCTATGGTTAGAATATTTTGTAGTTGTATTTGGAGCCCTGCCCCTGCTCTATTTGCTTTATAGTCTTAATACATCAAAACCTATCTCTCACCTTTCTTATGCTCATGAGAAATAATCACCTACTCTAAACCAGAATTAGTGGAGGGAATAGATTGGCAGTGATTCTTTTGGATATAAGACAAGAGGGTTGGAAATATAATCAAATGCACTATTATGCTAAGAGTTGACAAGAGGTGATTTCAAAGGAAGCCTCTCTTTTGAACCTTTGGGCCTCAGTTGCACATGAGTGATATTTCTATTGCTGAGAAGAGCAAATCAATGCAAATACCATCAGTGCTCTATGTTCACTCTTTGTACATCCGGGGATTGAACCAGCCATGGAGGGAAAATGTAGTTAGGCCTACAATAGTTGCATCTGTACAGAATATGTACCTCCTTTTTTCTTGTCATTATTCCCTAAACAATACAGTATAACAACTATTTACACAGCAACTATATTGTGTTAGGTATTATAATTCATCTAGACATGATTAAATAGGAGGGTGCATATAGGTTATGTGCAAATGCTACACCATTTTACATAACGGACTTGAACAGCTGTGGGTTTTGATATTTGAGAAAGGGCCTGAAACTAATCCCCTACAGGCACTGAGGGGCAACCTGGAAGTGAATGGTTCTTCGTCACAACCGAAGCAGGCTTCAGTTAGTTTCGAAGAAACTTTTCCAGTTGATTTGTCCATGCTGCACAGAGTTGGGCTATCATTTCATTGGATCCAGTGACTCACTCTGGAAGAAATAATGTGTTTTTTGTGTTTGTTTGTGACAGGATCTTACTACGTTGCCCAGGCTGGGCCTGAACTTGCAATCCTCCTGCCTCAGCCTCCCAGAGTACTGAGATTACTGGTAAGCACCACTATGTCTGGCTTTTTTTTTTCTTTTTTGTCTCACTTCCTAGAACCTATAATTAAGTGCAGACCTTTAATGGCCAATTCCACCTTCTTTTGGGGGATGGTCGGGGGGGGGGAACAAGGATGAGAAGGCACAGGAGGAAAGAAAGAAGAAATATTGGCTTGAATCTGAAAAGAGGGTGAGAGCTATAGGGAACTGTAGGGAGAAATCCCATACAAATATTTCCTTGGACTCCTTAGACAATTTTAGACTCAAGTCTCATGCAATTTTCTTTCTTGCCCTTTAAACTACCCCTCTGTGGGGATTCTCTCCAAACAGTCCTTGTATTACTTGGAAAAATAAGCACATCAGTCCAAGTTTAGTCAGGAAAGTGTTAGGAGCTGTGGAGGAAGGGATTTATTATAGGAATTAATCCTTGAACCACTGGGAGAGGGATGGGGAATGGAGGCCCAGGAGGGACTTGGAGGGTGGGAGAAGCCACCCAGCAGAGTCAGACAGGCACGTCAAGCTGCCTAAATGGAATAGGAAGCCAGTGGAGAGACCTGTGAGGAGCTGCTCTGACCTCTGAGGGCCTGCAGCCAAGTGTGTGGGATGGGCCTGGGCTGCTGTAGGTTAAGAGGTTCAGCAGCTGGAAAGACGATCTGGATACCGAGTGGAAGAGTGAGGAGAAGCTGGGCCCCAGCACCTCCACCTCCGTTTATCACCTCACCTTACTCTAACAATTTCTGGGAAGTAATGATGCCTGCTTCATTCTCACTTTCCAGATCTTGTACAAATTCCTCTTTTGGCCAACTCTAACGCAGAGCATTGTGGGAAACAGATCCTGGGAAATGTGACTGCAGCTTACCAAATTAGCACACTGCACTCCACCACAATAGGAAACACATGGCAGACGCAATGACATAGCAAATGCACTGCTAGAGGAGGTCTGCAAATGCACTGACAGACCCCCTCTAGCAACAGGCTCAGCACCCGGACAGGGAAGGTGTCAGACGAATGGATGGACAGGAAGGCCAAACAGTACCCTTCAACCAATGAGAGCACATTTCACAGTAGTGGAGATTAGAATGTAGGAGGAAGCTACTAAGAGTTTTTCTGCTGTGATGGAGCTGAGGAAATCTTTACATGGTAAAGGTGAATGTAGGTGGGCAGTTGTCTTCCTTCTGAACTGAAGTAACAGCAACAAAATTCCCATAGCACTTTGGTGCAGTCACATTTTAAAAGAATCTTTTTCTCAGAAAGGCCTGAGCACATGCATCTTTAAAGAGTTCTTTTCATGTATAGTTATCTGAGAGGATATTACCTTGGTACAAATTATGAATATGTCAGTCACATTGTTAGAATACACAAATTCATGATCAGTGGAAGGGATAAAATGCTTATTAGAATCAATTAAACTACACTTGAGTGATTTACTTTCTCTGTATTTTCTTATGTAAATAAAGTGCTGAGTTGTGTATTAACACTTCAAGGTTTTGACTACTTTTTATCTTGGAAAAAAAAAAGAAACAGAAAATGTTTGTCATTCCGGAAGCATAATCAGTTGAGCCAGCACACAATGACATAGTTAATTCACCGACGGAATTTGTTGCCATAGCTCCAGCGAGGGGCAGGGTAGATTAAACAATGGCCTTTTCAGAACTGCAGCTTTCACCACAACCTGCCCATGCCCATGCCCACACAACAGGCTATCAGAGTGCCAGTCGGGAATACAGCAATTGTCAGTGAACAACAGCCCAGAGGGAACAAGAAAAGCCTTGTGGTACATGAAGCAAGAGCACGGAGCAACTTGAATCTCTGCTTATTCAATAACTGGACTCTCCTAGTTCCTCTCAGCTTTTCTTTAAGTGCTGGGCATAGGGAGCTGGCTTGACCTTTAGTTAAGTATCCCTGATAAGTCCAGAGCAGCAAAAATTTCATTTTTTGACTCAAAAGAACTTCAAAGGCAAGACGATCCCAGAGCAGAGGGAAAGAAGGTCAGGAGCAGACATGGTGGGCCACCAAAAATGCACCACGGAAGAGGACTCCAGGGACAGTTGCGCTCCCAAATTCTGGCACAAGGTAATAGACATGCTTCCTTATTGATTTTTGCCTTTTTGAATATCAAAGTTGGTTCAAAAAGTAAAGTCCTATGTATCTGTGAGTGTGATAGACTTGTGCCAATTAACAGAGCCACCAGAAAACTGGAAATACTATCTTCTACAGCTTAAAGTGATAAAAAATAAAAACAAAATGTACTAATATTGCTTTATCCCCTAATAGAATATGTATAGAGTTAGCCAACAGGAGTGAATTCACACTAAAAAAAAGAAATAGGGGCTGGGGATGTAGCTCAGTAGTAGAGCATGTGTCTAGCATACATGAGGCCCTGGGTTCCATCATTAGCACGAAATGACAATAATAAAAAGCAAAGTCAAATCAATATGAGGAAATGCAGGGAGTTCAAGGCAAAAAGTGATATCATGGTAAGATGAAGGCATCTGAGAAATGTTTTAACAAAATATTCATTATCCTAGGCTGGGTGTGGTGGCACACGCCTGTTGTAATCCCAGCACTCGCGCGGGCTGAGGCAGGAGGATCACACAAGTTCAAGGCCAGCCTGGGCTACAAAGTGAGTTCAAGACCAGCCTGAACTGCATAATGAAACCCTGTTTCAAAAGGACAAAAAAAGGTTCTATAAAATGAGAAATGTCACAGAATCCTGATTGTAACGTCCATTTCTGAATTCCATGCTCTGCAACTGTTGGATAAACTAGACCATTTTATGTGGTACCCAGAAGAACATGCATTTGAGGGGAAGTCTTGCTAAAGGAAATGAGTTCCAGGTGGAGGATGTTTAGGCAGTGGGATGAAGTGCTAAGTAAGACTACCATGATGTGAAGAAACCCAGCGTCAGCTTTCCCAGCAAGATGTGATTCCTGTACTTAACAGTGAAACAACTTTCACTTCCCTGACCAGAAACGGGTTTCTCAAGCCTCAGGGCAGTAGGCTTGCTGTTCCTGTCTCAGCCCTCATCCATGACCTTCCCATGTGCTTTGGGCTCAACGTGGATGGCTGGTTTAAGAGCCATATGCTTCCAAAAGTAGTCTGAATCCATATCTAGTGGACACTCAATCTACATGATAGATAGGTCCTTTTCCTGATTACCTCCATGTTATCTCAAATTTGGAGAAATTTACATATTGAAAGCTCGTGAGTTTTACCCCTAATTAGAATTAGTGGGAGACATTCATTTCTCATTCCAAAAATAGATTTGCAGTGGTTTCCAAACAACTCTGTTCGGTTCTTGACTGGTGCTGATATGGAAATTTGAGATGATCTTTCCAGGTTCAAGTCAGATAGAATTAAATCTGTGCAAATATCACTCCATACTCCCGTATTTTTGTGAATTGTAAAACAGACAAAGAGCTGGTCACCCAATAGCATCACTTATCATCATGAGAATGGCTGGCACTTTTAGCCCCTACTAGGTGGCAGGCCCTGTCCAAGTACTTTTTATGCCTTATTTCATGTAATAATGTTCACCAAAAGGGCTTAAGCTCTTAACCACTCACATATTTTGCTAATCTGTGCCTTAGTTCTCCTCAGGTAGGTGGAATGGGTTTGTTTAACCTCCTTGGGTCATTAAAATAGATTATATTATTAATTGCAACAATAAAAAGTGATTGCATTAACATTTTAATAACAAATTTCAGTTCTCAGTGTGCAGTACTTTTCTCACACAAGCTACCTCGACTTCTGTAAATTTAATTTTATGATGGCCAGCCTTTTTAAACCATGCATTAATAGCCTAAGCTGACACATGACCTTTTATGGCATTGCTAATGTGCAACTTTTCAGCCAATAGTTACAAGCATCAATAAATATTGTATCTGAAAGCTGAGAATAATGAATTTAATAACATTTTAGAGCTCTCTGAGAATGAAAATTCCTTTTAAGTTGGAGTTGGTTATATTTTACACATTTAATTTTGCTTTTTGGTTGGCACATATTTGAAAATAGGAGAATGCCCAAATATTACTTATCCTAATTCCTCTTACCCAAAATCTTGAGAAGTATGATATATTATTTATATTTTCATTTTCAAGTGAAAAAATTGGAGTTTGCAGAGCTTAAGTACATTGTCCCAGAGCTTAGGTAAATTGTAGTAATGGTAGCATTGGAAGTCAGGTTCCTAAAACCCAATTTCCCTTTTTCTTTAAACCACACTGTGAAACCTGGTGTGGTGGTGTATGCCAGGAATCCCAGCACTATGGGAGCCTGAGGTAGGGGATTCCAATTTGAACCCAACCTGGGCAACTTAATGAGACCCTCCCTCAAAATTTAAAAATAAATAAAATAAGGACTGGGGATGTAGCTCAGTGAAAATACCCTGAGCTCAATCCCAGTACTGCAAACATCAATCAATCAATCAAACAAAAAATACCTTACATGATCAAATAAAGTAGCAAACTAGTCATAATTGAAATTTAATAATACTTAAAAGTTAATTTCTCAGTCACACTAACTACATTTCATGTGCTCAGTAGCTATGTGTGGCTAGTGACTATTTTTTTAGGGACAGTACAACTATGGAATATTTCATAATCACAAAATTCTGTTATATAATACTGCTTTAAACCATAATGTCTTTGTTAGATATGTTGACATATCCTCACAATATACTGTCGTTCTTTGCAAGTAATATAGATTTAAATTTTTACATTAAAATCTCATTCATTTGAAATCTCATTTTCATAGTAGCAAGTTAACTTTGATCTGCAAATTAATAATATAGATAAGAGTCAATGAGACTGTTAAATCCACTTCAGAGACCAGAGATTTTTAAGCACCATCAAATAACTCCAGAAGCACTCACTTAGATGCAAGCAATTGATTTTATTTATTCATTAAAACAGGGATCCCGTGAGGTGCTCTTATAGGAAATAATGTGGTTACTCTAGTTATTTCTAGTAACTCTTTTGCTGTTTCTCAGTTCTATGTAAAATCATTTTATACTACTGACTTACCTTCCCCTCTTCATTTGGATCATACAATAAATTGGTAGTATAAAATACTTTCCCAAGGGGCTGGGGATTTAGCTCAGCGGCAAAGCGCCTGCCTGGCAAGCGCAAGGTCGTGAGTTCGGTTCCTAGTACCGGAGAAAAACAAAAACAAACAAAAAAAATACTTTCCCAATGAAATTTTGAGTACCCAAAGGGCTAATTCCAAAGTGAGCTTCTTCACTGAATCTTCTTCACATGATTCCCTGGAAGGGGTGCTCCTGTGGACTCAGCACAGAGCCTGGCACATAGTAGAAGCTGGATAAATATATGACGATTGATTGCTGGAGACAGTCCTCACTGACGAGGAGTGAGGATATCACTCACTGAAATGGACTCTGATTTTCTACAGAGCGTACATGGACCGAATGGAAAACTCTCCTGGGTTTTTTTCTTCCTGGTTTACCAGTCTTTGCTGCTGAAACTTCAGGGTGAGGTAGTGTTTCCTGTTTGTGAGAAAGAGATGACTTCTGGGCCTTCCGGTTGGTGGAAAGGCGGAATGCAGTTTGGTTTGTGGATTTGGAAACAAAATCTTCTAGCTCCTTCAAAAGGGAGAGTTGGTTAGCAAACACGCTGCCTTTCCAAAGCTCCAGTCATTAGTTAAGTCCATGAGTCCTAAAATATTTTGTTGAGCGCAACTGCTAGTGCTGTCCCAATTCCATGTAATAAATAGAACAGAAGAGAGAATTTCAAGTTGTTTAAAGAAGAATGGCACTTGGTTCCCCCCCCCAACCCCTCCACCCCCAGTGCTGGGGATCAAACTCAGGCAGGGTCTCACACATGCTGGCCAAGCGCACTCTCAGTGAGCTACATCCCCAGATGGAGACTCATATTTCTAAGTCCTTAGCTGAGGTGGATTCTCACAGCTTGCTAAGACCCATAGTATCAAACATTAATGCCTTTTTAGCAAAACTAAAACCCAGTCCTTCAAGTTAGCAATCAATTTCAAAGACCATGATTTGTTGCTTCCTTGTCTTCCTCAAGGAAAATTTCTAGCACACACGCCATAAGCAAAGAAGGAAAAATTAATAGAAATGATGTAAATGTGCATTAATATTTAGTGTTTATTTGGACAAGATTAAACAATTTGGAACCCTCCAGATATATGAAGATTAGATAAGTGAGCATTTTTAGAGCCACCTAAAGAGAAAGTAGTTATTTACATTTTTACTTTTTGTTCCAAAATATCAGTTAGACTTTCTTTCTTATCTCTAATTCCTGCAGGTGAACCCTAATACAAGAACAGGCTTGCATTTGCGCAGTGTTCAGCTAACTTAACGCAGTCTTTGTGTCCTTTGGACACTGTGTGGTAGACTGATCCGAGGGTCACACATCCTCTTAACTCAATTAGCAGATATATAATCACTGTCATAGGTTGCGCAGCTGATACTTCTCCTGAATATTGACAGGGAAGCATAAACTGCGGAATCTGGCTCACTGCAGTACACTAACCTCCCTAGGCACTGTAGGTTCCCACCCACTGTGGTCCTCCAAGGAAAGCTTTGGCAATCCCACATTCCCTAACTCCTCCCTGGCTCCTGGACTTGGCCCAATTAGCATGCAAAAGGCTCACCTGGTCAGAGGGAAAAGACCGGTGCTTGCCCGGTTTTCCCACTGCTGGGAGCTATGACATCAAAGGGAGTTTTACTGGTTTCTCTCATTTTTGCCCTTTATTCCCAAAAACTTGGAATCAGCTTCTTTTCTTTTTTTCTTTTTGTTTTTTTGAGACAGGGTCTCACTCTGTAGTTCAGGCTTGCCTTGAGTTCTCCATGTAGCCCAGGCTGGCCTCAAACTCCTGACGATCCTCCTGCCTCAGCCTCCTGAGTGCTGGGATTACAGTTGTGCGCCACCACGCCTGGCCCGGAATCAGCTTTCAAATATCATGGCATAAAGAAAATGGTGAAACTGGCATAAAATTAATTTTGCCCAGTTCTCACAATGAGGCCTCAAAGTGGGAAATACTTTTTTTCTTCCATTCTGCCCTAGGTATTAGAACATTTTAAAATTCTCTTTGTCCTT